CCACTGTTTTTTGAATGATTTGTTGGGAGTCCTTCATCTGCTTTTCTCAACATAAATACTGCCCACCTAAAAGGAATTCAGACTGATAGAACCATGCCACTCCCCTCTTGTCCCCAACTTATATGAGCACCTACAAGGAAGATTTTCCCTAAAGAGCTTTTATCATTTTTCCTGAAAAGCTGACTACTGTGTTTGCTAGCTCTTGAGAAACCTGCATAAGGTGCCTGAGAAGAAAAATGGTTAAAGGTGTGGTTGACTTCATTTTGCTGTAGGTATAGGAAATAATTATATCTTGAGGTTGGAGGTGGTGTAATTTGGTGGAGGATAGAAGCTTTTACAAGGATAATTGGATAGCAGCATCACCAACAAACGTGCAAAGATGAAAAAGACCCAAACAAATCTTGGCAGGACTGCTCATTCAGGGAAAGACATTCAGTGATTAGTGAAGATGAAGAGTGGATGCCTGTGTACATTTGCGAAGAAGCTTCTCCTCTGATCACTTCAGACTTCCTGAATTTCCACTACGAAGGTTAAGGTTTGTCCAGTTCCATCATTAGAAAGAGAAATAATAAAATTAACTTTCATTTACCCTCACTGCACACAGTGAAGCATGGTGATAATAAATAATCCAAAACATTAAGAATCAGGCAATCATTTAAATTTAATTTATTGATTTAGAAGGCATTTTACTATATCATTTGTTTAACTGGGGATATTTTTGTCTTGGCAAGAGTTTAGGGTTCAAGTTTTGTTGGAAGGGGAAGTTAGCTACCCCTTCCCCAATATATCATTATTGTGGAAGCTGCCAGCTAGAGCTGGACAACACTTTCTCTCCCTGTATTGTTTGGTGCCATACATTTCCAAAGGGAAGAGGAAAGGACTGAGACTACAACTCCTTCTCCTTCTTCAAAGTTAAAATATATAAAAAATGAGCTAGGATGGACTGGAGTGACACTAATCAAGACAGGAGGCACGAAAGGACAATAAAGGCACAAGAGAAACCCACTCTAAAAGAGGGAGAAGTCTGGACTGGTGACAAATACTATACCAGTGTCTAGATGATTGGTGGGGAGTGTTGGTCTGGTTATAGAGTATGGCTAATTGTAGAATCCCTTTCAACTGAGACAACTTGACATGATGATTGTGCTTTGGGGACTATGGCTATCGGTGTGTGAGTAAAAAAGCTATATCACTAAAGAGTTATACTTTCTGGGGGCTTAAACTTTTTTGCTTTGGGATGCTCATGACCAATATCACAGAGAAGTGTTTTCCCTGATACACTGAGGAACCATGTGGGTGAATTGGTAGGTGGCAAGTATGAGAACTGACAGCGGTGGCAAATGAAACAGCCAGGCTAAGGTTGCAGGAGACAGTTGCCTGGTTAAGCCCCGACACAACCCAGTAAGGCAAGAGACATATCCGATACAGCTCAATGAGCTCAGTCTAACCTTGCGGGAGTGAGGCAAAAGTCCTGCCCTCCTGGAATATTATGATTCTTGGATGAGTTTAAGTATCCTTTGGAGCCCTAGTGGTGCAGTGGTTAAGTGCTACAGCTGCTAACCAGAAGCTCGGCAGTTCAGATCCACCAGCCGCTCCTTGGAAACCCTATTGGGCAGTTCTACTCTGTCCTATAGGATTGCTATGAGTTGGAATTGACTCAGTGGCAACAGGTTTGGTTTGGTTTTTTTTTTTGGTAGTTCTTAGAAACATTAGGAAAAGGAACTATATTAGTTATCGATTGCTGTTTAACAAATTACCCCAAAACAAAAAACATTTATTATACCACAATTTCTGTATGTCAGGAATTCAGGAGTGGCTTAGCTGGATGGTTCTGGCTCAAGGTCTCTCATGAGGTTGCAATCAAGCTGTTGATAGGGGCTTCAGTGATCGGAAGACTGAAGGAAGTTCCTCTTCCAAGCACACTCATAGGGTTGTAGGCGAGCCTCAGTTCCTCAAGACAGGGCATAACTGCTGCTGGCCACATGAATCTCTCCATGGTCTGCCTGAGTATTCTCACAACATGGCAGCTGGCTTCCCCCAGAGTGAGTGATCCAAGAGAGAAAGAGCAAGAGAGACTAAGACAGAAACTATATGGTCGTTTATAACCTAATCTTGGAAGTGACATACCATCACTTCTGCCGTATTCTGTTGGTCACACAGACTGCCCAGGTCATGAATACCAGGAGGTGGAAATTATTGAGGGCCATCTGAGAGGCTGGCCATGTGAACTACAAAAAGACTTAGATGCCCTGCTAATTTAGCTGTTGGGGACTCAAGGCCACCGGGAAGGCAGAGATTTTTGTCTGCTTGGTTGATCACCTAAAATGGTAAATGGCACATAGTAGGTGCCCAATTAATATTTATTAAATGAATAAATTAATTTTAGCATTAAAGGAAATGTGACCTTATCTTGCAGCCACAGACTAGTAAGATCTGGGCATTAGGTTCCATTTGCCTTCCTTATATTTTGCTTAAGATTCAATTGATTTGGAAACCAGGATACTTACTCAATGTTAATAACTATAATTAATACACATTTACTACTATCCCATTGGCCAAAAAGAGTCACATGGCTAAGTCCAGCATCAGTGCGGTTGAGACTGTATAAGGGGGTGAATTTGAGAAGGCATGGTTCTTTGGAGGTCACCAACGTAACGGTCTATGTTGTTATTGTTATGTGCTGTCGAGTTGGTTCCGGCTCCTAGCGACCCTGTGTACAACAGAAAGCAATGCTGCCCAGTCCTGTGCCATTCTCACAATCCTTGTTATACTTGAGCCCATCGTTGCAGCCACTGGATACAGTTACTGACCAGACGGGAAGCTTGCCTTTATTTTAGTGGAAAAGAAAATTAGATTGATGGGTAACGTTTCCTAGATGTAATTTTTTGTTTGCGTAGTTCTCTGGAATCAGAAGTAAGTGAATAAATATTTTCCAGGCTACTGTTTAATTTTTGAGAAAAGTGGTAAAGTCAAGTGTCCGTCGCGACTCTCATCCGTTACTGGTGGGAATGTAAAATGGTGCAGCCGCTGTGGAAAACAGCTTGACAGTTCCTCAAAAAGTTAAACATAAAGTTACCGTATGACCTAGCAGTGCCACTCTTAGGTATATACCAAAAAAAATTGAAAACAGGGACTCCAACAGGCATTTGTACACCAGTGTTTGCTGCAGCATTATTCACAATAGCCCAAGGGTGGAAACACCCCAAAAGTTCATCAACAGATGGATGAGTGGATTAAAAAAATGTGGTGCCTTCATACAATGGGGTAGTAAAAGCCCTAAGGAGTAGTAAAGTCCTGATCCATGCTACATCGTGGATGAACCTTGAAAGCATTATGCTGAGTGAAATAAGTCAGTTGCAAAAGGACAACCATTGTATGATCCAACTTATGCGAATTGTCTAGAATAGGCAAGTGTATAAAGTCAAAAGTTTAGTAGTGGTTACCAGGGGCTGGGGTAGGGGGGGAGTGAAATGGGGAGTACTAAGGGGTACTGAGTTTCTGTTTAGATGATGAAAACCCCTTGGAAATGGATGGTGGTGATGGTTGCACAACTTGGTGAACGTAATTAATGTCACTGAATTGAACACTTAAAAAGTTAAAATGACTGATGTATTGTTACATACATTTTAGCACAATTTAAAAAAAAAAGAAGAAGAGTTCATCACTGGGGCCTGTTCTGAAGCAAAACAGTAAACCAAGGGCCTAATTTTAATATGACCTGACACCTAGATTCAAGTAACCAAGGCTTAACTACTAGACTTGGCTACTTCATCTGCCCCATCATAAAACTGTCAGATTTTCTTCATCTTGAAACTAGACTAACAGAGCAATGTCAGATGAAGAACATGACTATAGCAAGGACAAATCATTCAGACTCCATGAAATCAGGATATTGACTCAATGTTAATAAGTGTAATTAATATACATTTACTACTATCCCATTGGCCAAAGAAAGTCACATGGCCAAGCCCAGCATCAATGTGGGTGAGACTATACAAGGCAGCGATTTTGAGAAGGCATGGTTCTTTGGCGGCTATCAATGTAACAGTCTATAACAGCCATTAATTAAATATTAACAACAAATGTTCACAATTTAAAAAGTGTTTTCACATTTATTCCCCCATTTTGTTGAACAATAACACTTGAGGGACAAACAAGCACCATCCCTATTTACAAAGAAAGAGACCGGGGCTCAAAAATTTGGACACTTAAAACCACACAGCTAGTAAACCGAAGAACGGAGACTTAAACTTGGGCCTTCTTACTGCAAGTCCTGTGTTTTTGCTATTAAGTCACAGTTACCTTTGGGCAGCACAGTCTGTGTTATCTAGCTATGCTTTTCACATTTGATCTTTCCAGGTTTTTGAAATAGGTTGACAAATAAAAAAGAAAACCATTCTTTTCTTTTTTTCCAAAATACTAGAGCTTAGGTAATTTTATTGATTGATTAGTAGGAAAAACATCTCATTCTTAAAGACTTTGATAAAGATCTTCCAGCAGAGCTATTAACAATGTTTGCTTATTATAAAGCTAGCCCAACCAAGCCAGGATGGCTATTTGTAAGGATATACCTCATGCCAAACGCTGAAGGGGAATTACTTAGCCTTTGTGGTGCCCCGAGTCTTTCCTGAGGAACAGAGCTTCTTTATTTCACCCTAGCCCCAAGTCAAAGAATTGCAGCCCAAAACTCCCAGGCCCGAGTTTTCTAAGGCATTCGTACAAGTGTGCAAACATCAATACTAACAGACCACAACCGATTAACAGGATTTGTATCAGGGGTAACAAGGGTGAAGTTGGGGTCTGGGGCTGGTAAATAAAAGTTCACATTAGAAAGAATCCAAAATTACTCTGATTGCTGCTTGTAATTCTGGATGCTTGAGAATAAGCCACAAGGAGATTGGGGTCAGATCTGTGTCAGAAGTGCTACCTGTGGTGCTGTTGCCATGGTAATCAATTGTCAAGGAACGGAGATCCAAGGAAACCACAGGTGCTGCTGCCCATCATGGGCTGGAGTTGGCCACCAGGCCCTCCCTGGGTGAGGCGCTCCCCTGAGGGACGCCCTCTGCAGTGTCCTGTCGTTGGGTTCCATACTCGCGGCCCCCAGCCTGCAGGTGACACTTTTCATTAGGAACCTCAGCTGACTGGGCCTTTGCACTGTTGCAAAGTGCACCGTCACTTTCCTGTTCAGGAGAGAAATAAGGAAAAGTTTAATTGTACAACCAAATACCTCTGAGCTCTCTCCTTGTAGGGACGCCCTTGTGAGAAGCTTCTCCTCGAAGCAGTCCCAAGCCTCACACTCCACTTCCCTCTATGGCCCATCTCGTGACACTGTAACCCTCACAAGAAAGGCAAGTAAGAAGTGTTGTGAGGTAAGGGGCATTAGATAAATAAGTTAATCTGACCAGAGGAGCTCAGTGAAATTGTGAGACTTGATTACCAGGTGGAAAAATGCTTCTCTCCACTGTCCTAAAATTGCAGCAACCAACCTTCCCACGTCAGGGCCCTTCAGGCTGCCACATACCTTATTTTGTGTTCGATAGTACTCATTTAATATATACTGATATCTGGGTTGATTGAGACCAAAGAAGGTAGCGAATCTTCCACCAAGGAATTCACACACTAAAGGGAAGAACAAACACTTTGGTAAACTGAATGAATAACTAGAGTTGTGAAGAGTTTAAATTTGCCTGTGAATAATCTATTACTCCATTAACTTCAAGGCCAAGTTCCGGGGTGGTACAAACAGTTAACACATTCAACCTCTAACCGCTAACCGAAAGACTGGAGGTTTGAGTCCACCCAGGTGCATCTTGGAAGAACGATCTGACCATCTACTTCTGAAAAACCAGCCATTGAAAGCCCTCTGGAGCACAGTTCTACTCTGACACACATGGGATTGTCATGAGTTGGAAATGATAAGATGGCAACTGGTTTATGTTTTTTGTTTTTTTTTTTAACTTCAAGGCTGATAAAAAATTTCGACTACTCTGTACTCTCAAAACAATTCTAGGACTTAAAAGGAATTTGTCAAATCTTCTATCTTTGTATAGAATTACATCTAAACCAGATTTAATATATCACGAGCTGTATCATGAGAGAGATCAGGTGAAGATACATGAGAGATTTTCAAAATACTTAACAACAGCATGAGTCTTGACCAATCAGGATAGATGCTGCCCATTGCCATGCATAGCAGCTGAACATCAGCTCTGGGAATGTTTCAATTACACCAAAAACACAATCCAGTGTTAACAAGACTGTCTTGGTCAACTAGTGCTGCTATAATAGAAATACCACAAGTGGATGGCTTTAACAAACAGATATTTATTCTCTTACAGGCCAGTAGGCTAGAAGTCCAAATTCAGGGTGTCAACTCCAGGGTAAAGCTTTCTCTCTCTGTCGGTTCTGGAGGAAGGTTCTTGTCATCAATCTTCCCCTGGTTGAAGAGCTTCTCAGCACAGGGACCCCGGTCCAAAGGATGTGCTCTGCTGCTGGCACTGCTTCCTTGGTGGTATGAGGTCCACCTGTCTCTCTGCTTGCTTCTTTCTTTTATATCTCAAAAGAGACTGGCTTAAGACACTATCTAATCTTGTAGATCTCATCAATATAACTGTCGCTAATCCATCTTATTACACCATAGTGATAGAATTTACAACACATAGGGAAATTACGTCAGATGATAAAATGGTAGACAATCATACAATACTGGGAATCATGACCTAGCCAAGTTGACAGATAGATATTTTGGGGGGAAGCAATTCAATCCATGACAAAGACTCGTGCCAGAAATTCTGCCATGTCCAGACAAACTCCTTCAGCAGTTTAGGGACTTGGCTGTCTGCCACCAGTTACAGCAGCAAGGTGGCCTGCAGGCTCAGGGTTGATTGTTAGAATCGGGGACAAAGGGTTAGCATGAATAGTGAGTGATCTCCTGAAGGTATCTCCTAGAAATACTTACCTTAAAATTATAGGGCTTCTGACGCACCATTGTAGGACCGACTCCCTGATTCCCCTGACTCACTCTACCTCTTGAGATACTGCTCATATAATATATCAAAATCATACTTTCTATTTTTCACGTGTCTAATCTTACTAAAAATACTCTAGCTCTGTATTCTGTGTATTTGTCACAGTGCCTAGTACATGTGTAGAAGACTTCTAAAATATTAGAATGAATCTGTTTATGAACTACTAGAATTTTAAATTGAGAGAATTAATTACCAGTGCCATCCGAGTTCCAACTCTACTCAAATTCTTTGTGTAGAGATGAGGGTGCTAACTGCTAGCATATTTATGTCTGCACTACTTTCTGGAGGAGTCCCTTTTTGGTGCAAATGGTTAAGCACTCAGCTCCTAACCTAAATGTTGGAGTTTCAAGTCTACTCAGAGCCATCTTGGAAGGAAGTCCTGGTGATCTACTTCCAAAAAATCTGCCACTGAAAACCCTACAGAGCACAGGTCTATTCTGACACACGTGGGGTTGCCATGAGTCAGAAGTGACTCGAAGGCAACTAGTTACTGGTTACTCTCTGGAGACTCTAAGCAGAAGCACTTTTACACCCCTGTTTGGAACCCTGAAGGAAGCTGAATTCACCATGCAGCCTATCCTGCCACCCTGAGTCAAAGCCCAACATGTAAATCACTGCGACCCTCCATGTTCTTCTCCAACCTCTCAGTCCCATAGTGATTTTTTTATTCCTTTTCCCTGACCTAACCTTCTATGGGTCCCTTCCTCCAAAACATTTCACCTCTTCAAACAATATTGCCTTCACTAAAGCACAGACCTTAGAAGGCTGCATTGCTTCTGCCAAGGTACTATGGTCAGATTAGAATCTATAGTCACTGGTCCCCCAGTAACTTCCAAACCATCAATCCTCTAGCCTTATGTAAAAGCACTTATTCCTTAGAGGCTCATATTATCTGAGTAAATCCCCCTTATCATGACTTTTCACTGTAATTTAAAGACCCTCTGATCATTCTCATACCCTGATCTCCAAGCTGGCCTTAGCCTGACATACTTTCATAGCTCTGTTGAGGTGTCTCCTGCATATGTCAGCATTCCTGAGTCTCCCGGCCCTTAGTCCCTATGCTCCCCTATTCTGGCAACTGTGACAACAAATTATAATTATATGCATGTTTCCTGGTCTGTATCATACACCAAATACTGAGTCCCTTGAAAAGCAGAGACTGTGTCTTTTGTCTTTGTGTTCCAGGGTCCAGCACAGTGCTGGGCACACAATAGGTACTCAGGAAATGTTTATTTAATGAACGAATGAAGATAAATTCTAAGAGCTACATTTTATATTTTCTCAGATTTTTAAGTAATTTTTTCCCTATCATATGCATAGATACAAGTTAGAAGGAAATATGTAATTTGATGTTGCAAATTGTGTTCTAAGTTGGTGAAAATCAAGCAAAATAAGATTTAGTATTTTACCCATTATAAATAGCCACTTAAGCCTTTCATTATATCCCCGGGAAGGGTCAATAAAGTTCATGTTTATAATAGAATGACTATGATGAGAAGACTTGGAACTATGTCATATAACAATAGTTTAAAAAAAAAACTTGGAAGTTTATTTGGCAAAGAGTCAACCCAGGGAGACCTGACTATTGTCTTCAAATTCTTGACTATCTGTCCTATGAAAGAGGAATGTAGACTGGTTTTGTATGGCCCTAATAAAGACAACTAGAATCAAGTGGAAGAACTGTAAAAGAAGACAAAATTTGGGCCAACGTAAGAAAGAATTTATTAACAAGAGCTGGGAAAAGATGGAAGTGTCTCTTTGAAGATGTGAGGTTCTACTCCGTTGGAATGTCAAAGCACAGACCCAAGATGAGATTATCACTTCCTCAGAATGCTGTGGAGCACGTTAAACCATTAGAAACCCCATCTAACTCTGAGGGTTATGTATTTAGGACAGAAAAAAATTACCTTAGCAGTACTTACTAGAAAATAAGGTGCATGCTATTCGCCCTGTCCAAAACTGTAGATAAGATTCCCATGAAAGTTTAGACTGCAAAAAAAGAAAGAAACAAATTTGAGAATAATTCAGACCATGAGTGGTGATTACAGAGTCTTTCATGTAAAGATTACAAAATGCTTTATAACATATACCATTTTTTCTCTCATGGATGATAAAACTAAGATTATCAAAAGTACGACTTGACTATACATGGATCTAGAAAGAAAACCAAGGAGGTCCAGGACTTGGCTTAAAACTGTACTTTCTACAAACCTTGTCTTGCTCAATTAATCACTCACTCAGCCCCCGTGTTTCCTAATATTGATATTCTAAGCTTACAGGGTCAAGTGTTGAATTCATTCTTTGTTCCTCTTTTTCTTCCTCCTCCTCTTCCTCTGTGCTATATTCTTCCATGATGTCTCCATCCACAAAATGGATGATCCTTCTCGGTGTAATCCTTTTGGAAGGCCTGCTATTCTCTGCTTCTAACTGCTGGGAGTTGTCTTTTTCCATAAGGAAAGTAAAACAACTAGTAAATTAAAAACAGACACCCTAGGAAAAGTTGCCCAGGGCAGTGTTTGTATAACTGAGAGGTGTCTAGTTATTTTCAGTGGATGGTAAAGACAGAGAGTTCAAAGGTAATCACAGCTGTGGTCTCATCAATTCTTCAGATGGAAGAAAGGGATGCTAAGTTCTGTGATAAAAATAGAAGAGATACATTAATAGCAAAAATGTGAGCATTGAGTACTTAAACAAAAATTTTAACAGGATTCTCTTGATCTTTGTTAATTGCAAAACCTCAAACTGCTATTATGAAGAGTCTATCACTCTGCAGAAGTTTCTCACTCATTACAATAAATATTGAGAGGCAATATAGGTGGTGGTTAAGGGTACAGGTTTTACACAGACTAGAAGAAAATATTTGCAAAATATATATTCAGTAAAGGATTTATGAGGAGCCCTGGTGACACAGTGGTTAAGTGCTCAGCTGCTAACTGAAAGGTTGACGGTCAAATCCACCAGCCACTCGTGGGAGAAAGATGTGGCAGTCTGCTTCCATAAAGATTTCCAGCCTTGGAAACCCAATGGAGCAGTTCTACTCTGTCCTATAGGGTTTCACTATGAGTCAGAATTGACTCAATGGCAACTGGTTTGGTTTTTGGTAAAGGACTTATATCCAGGATATATAAAGAACCATTGCAACTCAATAGGTAAAAGATAAACAACTCAATTAAAATATGGAAAAAAATATCTGAATAGACACTTGACCAAAGAAAATTTACAGATGGCAAATATACACATGAAAACATGATAAATGCCATTAGTCATTAGGGAAATGCAAATTAAAATCATAATGAGATATCATAACATACCCAATAGAATGGCTACAATTAAAAAGATTGACAATATCAAGTGTTAATGATGATACGGAGCAACTAGAACTCTCATACATTCCTAGTGGGAATGCAAAATGGTATAACCACTTTGGAAAACAATTTGGTAGTTTCTTATAAAGTTAAACATACACTTACCATATAATCTTGAAATTCTATTCCTTGGTATTTATCCAAAAGAAATTAAAACACATGCTTATCAAAAAATTTATATGTGAATGTTTATAGCAGCTTCACTAGCAATGGTCAAAAGCTGGAAACAACCCAAATGTCCAGAAACTGATAGATGGATAAACAAAATGTAGTATATCCATTTAACGGAATATTATTCAGCAATTAAAAGTCATGGACAACTACTACTTGCAACACTATGAATGAATCTCAAAATTATTATGCTAAGTGAAAAGCCAGACACAAAATACTGCATTTATATGATTCCATTTATGTGAAATTCTAGCAAAGGCTAAATTACAGTGACAGAAAACAGATCAGTGGTTGCTCGTGTTAAGGGGGTAGAGGGAAAAGATTAACTGCAAAAGGGCACAGGAAACTTTTGTGGTTGATGAACATATTCTAATCTACATCATGATTGTAGAGGTGGTTATTCGACTGTATACATTTGTCAAAACTAATCAAATTCTACATTTAAAATTAGTAAATTTTATTATATCTCAATAAAGCTGAAAAGTTTTGAAGTCAGACTGCCTAAGTTCAAAATCCTATTGCTTAATATCCCTTGCCTTAGTTTCCTCATCTATAAAATAAGAATAACACAGAATAATATAGTACCAACCTTATACGATCGTCATGAGGAATAGATGAGTTAAGTCACGTAAAGGAGTTAGAACAATTCTTAGCACAGTCAGTGTCATGGATTGAATTGAGTCCTGCAAAAATATCTGTCAACTTGGCTAGGTCATGATTCCCAGTATCGTATGATTGATTGTCTACCATTTTGTCATTTGATGTGATTTCCCTGTGTTATGAATTCTATCACTATGATGTAATAAGATGGATTAGCAGCAGTTTTACTGATAAAGTCTACAAGATTAGATAGTGTCTTAAGCCAATCTCTTTTGAGATATAAAAGAGAGAAGTGAGCAGAGAGACAGGGGAACCTCATACCACCGAGAAAGCAGTGCTGGGAGCAGAGTGCATCCTTTGGACCTGGGGTTCCTGCACGGAGAAGCTCCTAGTCCAGGGGAAGGTTGACGACAAGGATATTCCTCCAGAGCTGACAGAGAAAGCCTTCCCCTAGAGCTGATGCCCTGAATTTGGACTGGTAGCCTACTAGACTGTGAGAGAATAAATTTCTCTTTGTTAAAGCCATCCACTTGTAGTATTTTTGTTATAGCAGCACTACATGATGAAGACAGTCAGCATTCTATAAAAACTAGCTCTTATTAAGTACCTATCATTTACTTAATAGTGCACATGTCAAGCCCTATTCTAATGTGGTAAGTGCACTAATTGTCCAAATTAACATTTAATACATTTTAAGATTATATCAGCAAATATGTCAGACTGAGCTGATATGGAGGAATTCGCCTTCCTGCTTCAAATACAAGAAGTGCTGAATATAATTAAACAAAGAAAACATTAAATCGTAGCTTCACTAAGGAAGAAAGAAGAAGGAAGTTAGGAAGGAAAGAAGGAAGGAAGCAAACAAAAAAAGAATACCTAGGTGTCATAAAAAGAGAGGAAATTCAAAATCATGAGGGTTATCTGAAGCTGAAATGGCTCCCAAGGTTTCAGAACAAGATATAGGCCTTGGGACTGGAGTTTTAACACCTATGCAAGAAGGAGAGTCCAAATCACAGATCCAGTAAGTGTGTGTGTGTGTGTGTGTGGGGGGTGTTTGAAATGAAGGTACTTGTATAAAGTAAGACAAGTACTGCCTTATCTATAAAATGTGAACTAGAAAAACTACTCATTGACATGTAAAAGTGGCAAGGTAATTTGCCTTCTGTTGGCAACATGGGTAGAAACAGTCACCTGAAACAAATTGGGACCTCAGGCTAGTACCATATGCTGATATGTGGCCCAAATGCACATTCCCCATATCATATGAGGACCTGATGTGAAGCTGAGCTAAAGGCAGTGTAACCCACAGAACTCCGCCAGATGCAAACACCAGCCACAATGCAGGGATGCTTGACAAGACAGGTATGCTGGATCCTCCACCAAAAACAACTTTTGCTGAGGATGTGCTCATTGCAAAAATTTACAAACCACACGAAGAAACCAAGCATCATGAGGCAGTTTCAGCAGGTAAAAAAATTGGGAAAGTTAGGAATAATAGAACAAAGCAAGACTTTAAAAATGAGTATGTTTAATATGTTCAAAGAGATAAAGGAGGCAAAATATTATAATATGCAAATAGAACAAGTCAATCTGAAAAAGAATTGAGGAGAAATTCTAGAAATGAAATATATTGTCAGTGTAAGAAAGGTTGAACATAGATTAAACATAGCTGAAGAATATGAAGTAATCTCTCATAATATAGCATAAAAAGGTATATATTCAGTTAACACAAAAGAGAGTTACAAGATAGAAAGGCTAGATGAGAAAGTTGAACATATGTCTAATAGGAGTTCCAGAAGAAATGAACAGAAAGAATGGGGTGGTAATGACTATGAATTTTCCATAATTGAAGGAAGACACAAATCTTCAGTTCTGAGAAACATATAGAATACTGAGAAGGATAAATAAAATCAAACCTAGACCATGAAAATTATAAAAACTTTGAAATTTACAATAGAGAAGGCAGATTATTCACAAAGAAATAACAATTAGTCCCATGGCAGACTTCAGATCAACAAGAGATACCAAAAGACAATGGATTCTTGTCAAAAAGAATTCAATACCCAGCTAAACAATCACTGAGAGAGTGAAAGAGAAAGAGAGAGAAAAAGAGTGAGAGAGTAAAATGACATTTCAAACCTATAAAAACTGAGTTAAACATTCCCGCCTCTTCACTGAAAGAATATTAGTATAAGACTACATGTCATCAAGAGGGAAACTGAGCCAAGAGCTAAGAGTGAGATGCAAGAAACAAAAGTAAATAAATTAGTTGTTGTTGTTACATGCTGTTGAGTTGTTCTGACTCATAGCAACCCTACATACAACAGAATGAAACACTGCTGGGTCCTGTGCCTTCTTCACAATCGTTATGCCTAAGCCCATTGGTGCAGCCACTGTGCCAATTCATCTTGTTGACAATGCAGAAATAAATCAGTACATAGATGAAAATCTTAATAAGTGTTGACTCTTAAAAACAATTTTGGAAAAAACAACAACACCTCTGGGGCAGGTATAAAAACAAAATGGCATTAAGTAGTAGACAATACCATAAAAGATGAGGAGTTGACCTCTTCTAACGATTGTTTTGTAGGCGGACAGGATGTTAGGTGTGCATGTTAACAATTTAAAGGTAACCAGTAAAATAATGGAATTAGAATGTATAGTTTCAAAACTAACAGAAGAAAAATGGAAAATCAACGATCAAGCCCACAGAAGGCAGGAAAAGGGGGAGGGGAAGAACAAGAGCAAAGGGAAGGCATGATTAACAGAAACGCTGAATAAAATGTTAGAAATAAGTCCAAATAAATCAGTAATTGTAATAAATATAAATAGATTATCAGCCATCTATTGAAAAGGAGACTAGCAATAGTTTCGGAGCCTGATGGCACAATTGTTAAGAGTTTGGCTGCTAACTAAAAGGTGGGCAGTTCAAATCCACCAGCCTCTCCTTGGAAACCCTATGGGGCAGTTCTACTCTGTCCTATAGGTTCACTATGAGTCGGAATAAACTCGACGGGAACAGATTTGGGTTTTGGTTTAGCAATAGTTTCAGGGGTTCACCCAGCTATTGCCCTGAGATAATCTTTAAATCTTAAACAAAAAACATCTCCTGAAGTCATCTTAAAACTAAACAGTAGTTTAGCTTAACTAGTAAAGAATGTCTGCCTTGAGCATTATGCTCTTTTAAGAACTATCTATTTGGGATCAAATTGACAACAGCAACTGGAAGGATTAGATAGGAACCTTAGGGGGCAGTGAGTTTATGTTAATGAGGGAGGAACAACTCAGAAAAGGAGGATGAAAATGGTTGCACAA